CCCCAAAACCCCAAAACCCCAAAACCCCTTTTAAATTCAAATAATTTAGCAAAATAATTCAGCAAAATGTCAGAAGATGGTCTTCAGGATATACTCGAGCTTAGGCAGCAAGCCAATTCTCAGTTCAGGAAAAGGAACTTTAACAAAGCAAAGAAGATATATGTAGAAGCAGTGGAGATGGCTAATACACTTGGAGTAGATGGAATCAACCAGAATTCTGCCAAACTTGACAAAGACGGAGAGATTAATGATAATGATCTCCAGAGACTCAAAGCTATGCTGTTCTATAATGCAGCTGTTTGTTGCTATAATTTAGGCAATATTGAACTAACAGAGCATTATAATTACATGAGCATTGCTGAAGACCCTACTTATCCATGGGCCCTCCATAGATTGGTCCTTCTACATGAAAGAGAGGGGAATTATCAATCAGCCTTAAATTCAGCTTACGAAAGCCAAGATATGAGAATCTACGACCATGATGTAAAGGCAAATGAAGTATTTTCAAAGACTATTGAAAGACTAGAGAGACTCATTGAAAAGCATGGGCCTGTTAATGAAGATTTGCAACCTAAAAGCGATGATGAAGATGCTGGCAAATTTCAAAAAGCAATGAAGGATATAAGCGATATGTCTGATAATCCTCTAAATTATTACTAAGGGAATGTACTGTCTTCTGTTGAAACTTCTATTCAAGGTTAGCTTTATACTAAAATTGGGTTAATTTATTTTCTATTTGGGCTTCTTCTAATCAAGGGAGTTTTGGTTCTTCAGATTCTTGATTCAGCTCGACTTTTGTTCCATCTGATCAAAATTGACCTTTATCCCATCGACCTTCAACTTTTGTCCCATCCGCTTCAATCAAAAGTCCTTTCCCATGCATCTTATTATCCTTCCATTCTCCTAAATTCATCTTAAACAAATGATTTTTTAAATCTGTAAAAAACTCAAAATGCCACTCACCCTCATAGATCCTTCCGTCTGGCCACTCTCATCAACCGTCTCCTTCTTTTACTCCATTTACAAAGTTTCCATTATACGTTTGTCCATCTGGGCTCCTTAAAATTCCTCCTCCGTTCATCATGTCATTTTCATAATACCCATTATACTCGCTTCCATCTTGAAAAGCTTGCTTGCCATAGCCTCATTTCATACCTTTGCTCCACTCTCCACTGTAATGATCTCCGTTTAGCTTAATAAAGGTAGCTTCGCCATGAGGCCAAGATTTGAGAATCATGAAAGGAGAGTCGTCTGGAGGGTGATGGGCTTCCGCCCACTCACCTTCATAGACATCTCCAGTTGAGAGAATCAATCTTCCAAGGCCAGCAGCTCAATTGTTCTTAAAATGGCCAGAAAATACAGAGAGGTCAGGGTATTTAATCACGCCTTTCCCATCCATTACCTTTGTTGCTTTGAGAACTTGGCCTGTGTAGGAATAGCCATTTCCAAGATTAAGTCTTACTGTGTACTCTCTGTTCTGCTCATTTTCAGGAGTATCATCAATGAACTGGAAGTCACCCAGTTGCTCATTGATGCCGTCAACTACCTCGTCTTGTTCAGAAATGTCTGATAGGCTTTTTAGGTCAAAGACTCCAAATTGTTTGGTCTATATTTGAAAGAAATGACCTTGAATTTTCTGTTAGAACATGAAAAATCAAAACTAGATTTGATGGAAAATTGAGGAAATTAAATCATAAGTTGCATTAAAGATTCCTAGAAATTTAGTTAATACTTTAATAGTCAGGTTAGGAATTAGTCCTTACATTTTCTGACTTAAATAGGCACATTCTTAGAACATTTGATTAACTCCACTTTATTTCCTAGCCAGGTAACTTTTCATCACTTCTTGGATTAACTTGACTTTTGTGATGTAATCATAAGTACTGTCACTTTCATTATTGCTGCTGAGAGGAGTAAGATTGAGGTTAAAAGCTTCCTTCCGGTCTTTTTCAAATCAGCCACATTTGCTTCCCATTTAACTGTTTTAATATTCTAAACAGAAAATACAAATGGGGTTTTGGGGTTTTGGGGTTTTGGGGTTTTGGGGG